AAACTTGTACTAGGTTGCGTCTTGTGAAATTCAAAAGAAGAAGACAGATTTGGAGTAGAACGAACGCTGTTCCCAACCAAAGAAAACTGAGTCAATTTTACTGTTTACCGGGTTGGTACCGACAGATGTTTTTAATACCTGCCAACAAAAGACAACTCCGTAGTCGGCAGGATTCGAACCTGCGCGGGGAGTCCCCAATGGATTTCAAGTCCATCGCCTTAACCACTCGGCCACGACTACAAGAATGACGGAGACGTTAGGATATATTCCCAAGAGAAGTAGTTCTCTTGTTTTATAAATGCTTTCAAAATAAACTTTGTGCAATGTAATAACAGGAGAAGACGACGACTTGTCATCATGATAAAAGAGACTGCCTTTGAAGATTGGCAAGCAGGAATTGTAGAGTTCTGAGGTAGGACGTCCTCAGGACCTACCCTGCTGAGGTTAACGCCAAGGTGACCCTCAATCCTTGAAGCTGAGTGGCAGACACTCCCAGGTATTAGACACAGGAGTAGTTACTTTTATCTTTATGATTCTTAAATCTCCAGTTCGGTGCTCGAAAGAGCATGGCTGGCCTTTTGTCAAAAGTGATAGCAGAGGATGGTTTCGATCCATCGACCTCTGGGTTATGGGCCCAGCACGCTTCCGCTGCGCCACTCTGCTCACCCAGGAGCACATGCTGCCTTTGAAGTCTTTAGTGAAGATAGAAAACGTCTTTTCCGTGTCTATTTCCGTCTCCTTTTTTTAATCATTGTTAACTGTCGAGCAGGACAGGAAACGTAATATATCTCTATACGATTGTGCCTCCCAATTTAGAGTTCTTCCCACTGAAAATAAGTCAGCTGAAGCTGGAGCTCAGGAGCTCGTTAACACTTGTTTCCGGATAGAAAACCAAAGACATACTGAATGATAGACTTTTAAATACCTAGCTTTCAAACGATTTGATTTCGCTAAACTCAAGTTTAGGACACAAAATTAGTTTTTTGTTTGGAGGGGGAGGGGGCAGGTTGTTTTGTGATTTCATAACTGAAATTCTCAAAAAGGTTTGAACTGCATTGGCCGGGAATCGAACCCGGGCCTCCCGCGTGGCAGGCGAGAATTCTACCACTGAACCACCAATGCAACTATATGAGATGGCCTTTATATCTATTCCTATATATCTATTTTTATGTCCCATATATCTATTCCTATATATCTGTTGTTATGTCGTCTTACCCTTTTTTCGGATAGTTATTGAATGAGTCAACACTTAGAAAACCAATTATTTAAAAACAGAGATTTCTTCTACTAAAATAAAAAGTTAGAGATTTTAATACATGAAAGAAATGGACCCTGAAAGCCTGCATAAACTTGAATGAAAGCCTACCGTCTAGTATATCTGGTCTTAATCACGTCTCCAGAACAGAGTTGTGGTGTCTTGCAAAGGTGATAGGTTGCTTTGGGGAGGGGAGGGGGGGGAGAAAAAGAAAAAGCAAGAAGCCGAAATAACAAACTAAGAGGTTCTTAACGGCTTTCTGAAAAGGAAGATCTGGAACTGTAACCATGTTCCTATAAGTCCTAGATGTAAGCTACTGAACAGGACAGTAACAGAAACATCTCGAATTTAATCAAATTACCTAACTTGTTCTTAATTAATCTTCTCTAACAATTGGAGTAAAGAGCTGGCTTCAAAGGGAGTTTAAATGATGCTCAATTAAAAACAGTTTACAATAAAACACTTTAGGGAAAAAATTAAAACCTTTAAAATCAACCTGAATGAGGAGGTGGCTTACCTGCGATCCCAGCACCGAGGAGGCAGAGACAGACAATTCTCTGTGAATTCCATCCCA